TGGTAAAACCAAAACCGATCCTGAAGCCGTGGCTGCTTTCATGGTCTGAATTGCGGCGCGTATTTTAGCAGGTAGAATACATTTCAATAAGAATAACGGGAGTCGACACGGGTGTTAATGAGGGATGAGTTTGGTGTAAACTCTCTTCGTGATCGATTCCATCTTTTGTCGGGAAGATGTGCGAGTCCCGTCCTCTTTAATGTTGTCAGCGGAATACGGTAGTCGAGAGTGTCTGCCGTACATCCTAAATCTTCTTTTTCCCTGTACTGCCAGTTTTGATTGCCTGTATTTTCAAAAATCTTTTGTAAAGCTGTTCTTCAATGGTATTGGCTGTCAGTCGCTCGAGATGTGATGCAGTCGGACCCAGCCTCAGTGCTCTCCTATTCTCAAAAATTGGTGGCTCTTAAAATTCGTTCCGAGTTCCTTGTTCGAAACATTAAGGAGTTTTCACTACAAACTCTCAGTCCTCTGAGAAGTAGTCGTTCTTTCGTTGAGACCTCCTCGATGGGCTAGTCACAAGTGGTCAGGAGCTTTCGAATCTGACGCCGTCATATACGAATTCCTACCAGCATGGTAACAGATCTGCTTTACTTTCGGCAAAATCGCACTTTTGCTTGAAGGAGACGGTGTTCTGAACTACTACTAAAGGATGGCACTACTGAGGCGTCCAGAAGCACCATTTTCGGCATGAAAATGCGGTCAATCTCTAGATGTGTCGTACCTTTGGGTGGCTTCCATATCCATCGCAATGTTCTTTCTTCATGAAGATGGAATTGCCATCAATAAGTCGGCGGAGAGCCCAAAAAGACGGTTACCATTCTCATTGCGGAGTCCTGTTCCAAAACTTCCAATGCTCCCCTTCTTCTGACATCCCGATTTTTGCATTTCACCCACGACAAATTTAAAGAAGGACTCCTCTTTGCGGATGACTTCCTCCAAGTCCTCATAAAGCATCAAGTTCCGATTCATCAGCTGCCGAGATTGGAGAATCAGTTGATGATAACAATGGTTTTCTAATGCAGAGGACGGATTCGAAGGATAACCAGGCGGGGTGTACGATATTATGCGGATCGAAAAGATGGGCAAAAATGGGTGTGGGACAAATCTAACGACTCTAATGTCATGAACCTTTTCCCACGAATGATGGGTGTGCCTTAACTCAGCTGCTTCACGTCCGCCTTCCTGGACTTTGTTTCCTGCAAATGGTAGTTGACACGCCCTGTAGCTGCGACAGTGGCTTGAAGATTGTTGGTGGAGACTGTCCTGGCGTTGTAGGTGCAGAGAATGAGACAATATACATGGCGAGTCTCGACGTGTCCCTTCGGCTCGAAATCCATGGCGTCCTGTGCAAACTGACACTGATCTTGATAACAACGACGGAGATGCGATCCTGTGTGCAGGGCTTCTTTTCCTATTGCATGCTGTACAAGCAATAAAATAAATCCCCAAATTAGCAGCTTTGTCAGGGCCTGCCAAGCCTACCACAGGCAATCGCTGACCTATGTCAATCAGGAAATCGCCTAGCAACTCAACTAGCCAGACCGTAGGGTCTCTGGCATGATGTACTCTTACCTGTATCCGGGCAGGAAAGTCGGAATCGACATATTCCTTCTTAGCTTGGGAGACCGTGGTGGGGGATAAACTTCCGCTGTACTTTGCAGTTCGACCCACCCTCGCGCAAGTAGGCGGTAGATTACGGTAGCATTTACTAGGACAGGTATTGGAAGTCTCCTGAGCGCCTTGATGGGACGGTGGTCAACGTTCGCCAGACCTCTCTTAGCAAACTCCCCGTGCATGGTTACCTCTAATATTGGCTGATCCTTTCTCC